ATTTTCAGGAACATTTGATAACCGTGCTAACAGCATACCAATTACGAAAGATCCTGCATCGGCCCAACACCTCAGGTCGAATGATTAAGTGGGCCGTCGAACTGGGACAATTCGACATCCACTATAAACCGCGGACCACGATCAAGGGACAAGTCTTGTCCGATTTATAGCTGAGTTTACTCCTGGGGTTGAAGAAGTCGCCGACGACCACCCATGGGTAGTGTATGTTGACGGATCATCAATGGCAAACCGAGCTGGAAGGGGGATCGTTCTCATTGACCCGGGTCAACGGGTATTCTGTCATTCCGTCCAGTTCCTGTTCCCCGCCACAAATAACGAGGCTAAGTACGAGACGCTATTTTCGGGACTGAACCTCACCGAGGCAATGAACCTAACTCATATAAACGTCTTCTCAGACTCACAGCTGCTGGTCAACCAAGTGCTCGGCACTTTCGAAGTCAAGGAACCTCGGTTGATGTCTTATCTCGCGCTAGCCAGGAAAAAGTTGTCGAAATTCCAATCCAAGATTGAACACATTCCCCGAACCTCGAACGTACAAACAGATGCCTTGTCACACCTAGCGTCGAGCACCAAGATCGAAAACGTGGAATACGTTCAAGTCGGTCGACAAGAATTGCCGTCAACCTCGATGAATCAAGTCGCGAGCGCCGGACCGAGCTCTGAAGATAAAATACCGACTTGGTGGATCCGATAGTCGCATACCTTGAGACTGGGGCCCTACCACAAGACCCCAACCCCAAGGAGACAAGATCACTACGAACCCTAGCAACTCGGTTCACGCTGGATAACGGGACACTCTACAAAAGAGGGTAATCGGTCCCGCTACTGAAGTGTCTGCCCGAACATGAGTCACTCTTCGTATTGCAAGAGGTCCACAATGGAGTATGTGGAAGGCACTCAGGGTCGTAGGCGCTGGCCTACAAGATCCTGCGAGAAGGCTATTACTGGACGACACTAAAGAGAGATGTCGCGGACTGGATGAGGAGATGCGCCAAATGTCAGATATTCGCACCCAACGTCAACCTGTCCCTAGAACCGCTCAAGTCGGTTTTTAGCACTTGGCCTTTTGCAAAATGGGGAATCGACTTGATCAGACCCCTGCCGGTTGGAAAAGTGGGAGTAAAGTACGTCGTCGTCGCAGTAAAGATCCATCCATGAGGTATATTGACCGAGATGTGCATCTGGATCCGAGGTACCATATAACAAAATATTTTTATCATATTTTTCAAAAAATATTTAATCAAGAGGATTACTTTAGAATCTTTTGATTATTAATAGCTCAACCGTTTCATTTTTTCAAAAAGTATAAGCTCAATTTTCTAAAATATCAAAAGAAATTTAACTATTTATTTTCAATAACAAACTAATCTTTATCCTTAATAACAAGTGTTGGGAAAATTGGGAGATTTCGTTCTCTAACATTCCCGACAGTCACTTTTGGAAAACATCCCGTAATTGCAAAAAAAGAAAAAAAAAAAAGATATTTC